GAGAAAATTTGGAGTGGCAGAGGGAAAAAAATCTTGAATTGCTAGATTCCTGAATTGTCACATTTTTGAACCTGCAGTGAAACCATGCTGAAAGCAGAACAGAGAAGAGGTTCTTAAGCACCAGGTGGTTTGATAGAGTGCCTAATCCTCATTCTGAGGGAACAGAAAGAAAGGAGGCTCCTGTAACAGCTAAGGCTAAAAAAAGACAAGCCTTGTTATCACCAGGTGACAAAGATACTATTCCTCTGCTTTCCAGTCCACCATTTCCCCAGCTTACCTTACTCTGATTTTCTGTTTATTCAAAGTGGTACCAATCACTTTGTTTTGTTTGAGTAAACCTGTCTCAAAGGGGGATCTTCTCTCTCAAAGGGGAAAAAGGAGTTGTCAGGGCTTGTCAAGAGAGTTTTAAACTAGATTTGAAGGGTGAATGGGATAAAACCAGGCTCAGTAGAGATAAACTTGGAGTGGTACACCAGCTTTTCTGGGACAGTGCGCTAATGAGGTCCTTCAGTCTGCCTCTCAGTGGAAGCATGGGGATGGAGATCTATGTAGAATCAAAGGCACAAACTTTGCTAGAAACCACAGAAGCACCTGAGAATAGTCATGGAGGAATGAAGGCTTCTCCCCTCAAAAAGGCAGTGGGATCAGCAGCCCAACTGAAGTGCATCACATCACATGGGCAACAAACAGGAGGAGCTGGAAACCACTGGGCAACAGGAAAACTGTTATACAGTTGCCATCCCGGAAACACAGTGAGGTGACTTAGGCAACTGGAGTGACACAATGGATGGCTACAAACTCTTCCAAAGGGGGACAGGCAAGTCAGAAGAGCCAGTGGGGTGGCCCTTGTATGTTAATGATGGTGATGGTAGGGTTGAGTGTTCATGGATAAGAAGTGGTTTTGGGAAGACCAATGAGGCAGATATCATGGTGGGTGTCTGTTATTCACCACCCTATTGGGATGAAGAGGCAGATGAAATATTCTATAAGCAGCTGAGAGATGTCTCGTGATCACAAGCCCTTGTTCTTGTGGGGGACCTCAACTTGCCAGATGTCTGTTCTAAATAAAATACAACAGATAGGAAGCAGTCTAGGAGGTTCCTGGAGTGTGTGGAAGATAACTTCCTGACACAGCTGATGAGTGAGCCAATGAGGGAGGGCACCCACTGGATCTGTTGCTTGCACACAGAGATAGAATTGTGGGTGATGTGATGGTTGGAGGCCGTCTTGGGCACAGCAATCCTGAAATGTGAGTTTTCTAGTTTTGGAGAAGTATGGTGGGGGGTCAGCAGAAGAGCCACCTTAGACTTCCAGAGGGCAAACTCTTGCCTGTTTAGGAGGCAGTCCTGAAGGGCAGAGGAGTCCAGGAAGACTGGACATTCTTCAAGAAGAATCTTAAAGGTGCAGGAGCAGGCCTCATGTGCTGAAAGGTGAGCCAGTGGAGAAGACTGGCCTGGCTGAACAGAGAGCTTTGGCTGGAACTCAGGAATAAACGAGTTTGTGACTGTTAGAAGAAGAGGCAAGCAACTCAGGAGGACTACAAACATGCCATGAGGTTATGCAGGGAGAAAAGGGGAAGGGTTAAAGACCAACTAGAACATAGTCTGGCTACTGCCACAAAAGGCAGTAAAAACTTTTCTATAAACATCTTAGCAATAAAAGGACAGCTAAGGATGAGGGGAAAACATGAGGCACTTCATGTCTTCTTTACCTCAATCTTTAGTAGTAAAAATAGTTGTTCTTGGTTTACCCAGCTCCTAGAGTGGGAAGACAAGGAGAAGAATGAAACCTCCGTAATTCAAGGAGAAAAGGTCAGTGACCTGCTGCACAACTGAGACGTACATAAGTCTATGGGAGTGGATGGGATTCACCCAAAGGTTCTGAGGGAGCTTTCAGAGGTGCTCACCATGCCACTTCAGGAGCCCTGGCTAACTGGGGAGGTCCCAGTTGGTGAGAGGTTAACAAAAGTTAGGAGAGCACCACAAAAATGATTAGAGCACCTCTCCTATGAAGACAGGCTGAGAGCTGGGGTTGTTCAGCCTGGAAAAGAGAAGGTTCCAAGGAGACTTCATAGCAGCCTTCCAGCACCTGAAGGGAGCCTTCAGGAAAGATGGGGAGGGACTTTTTACAAGGGTGTGTAGCGATAGAATAAGAGGTAATGGCTTTAAACTCAAAGAGGGAAGATTTAGACTAGACATAAGAAATTCTATAGTGTGAGGGTGAAGACACACTGGCACAGGTTGCCCATGAATGTTGTGGATGGAAATGTCCCTTAGAAATCTTCAGCATCAGATTGGACAGGGCTTAGAGCAACCTGGTGTGGTGTGAGGTGTCCCTGCCCATGCAGGGGGGTTGGAACTAGATGATCTTTAAAGACCCTTCCAACACAAACCTTTCTATAACTGCTGCAGTAGGTAAGCTGCAAGATCAGTTGACAATCCTGATATTTAGTTGGTCCACCGTTCATGGCTTTATATACGTCACCTCTACACAGGTCTACACTGTCACATAGTGATAAAAGCTGTGTGGAAAAGGCACCATTGATCTTTCTAAAGGCTCTTGGGTAGATCTACAACTACTATCATTCCCTTAATCCCCTATTCTCCTCATTAAAAACAACAACAACAAAACAAACAAACAAAAAAAAACAAACCACACTGTAAAAAAATGTTGTTTAGATATTATTAGTCAAACAGGATAGAAATCTTACAGTGAAGAAATATTGTTAAGTAGTGAGCAACAAATGTCTAATTTGTTTTTTACCTCTGCTCCTGCATGGCATATAGTTAGAGAAACTGGTGGGGTTTTTTTCCTGAAAAATGTCCATTATGTATGAATGCATTTATTTACAACTTACTGAATCTTAAGGAGATGAAAACCAACAAATGCTCATACATTACTGTTACCTCATAATTCCTCCTCTCTGTGTGACTGTTATTTGGAGGCTGATAAGCGATGAGCAAGTCACTGAGATCTTTCCATGTGAAGGAGCCAATAGGTTTTGTGTGGTCAGATAGATGAGTGACGAAGCCCTGCGGAGGCGGCTTGGTAATGTTGAACACAAGCAGGCGTTTCGGAGTTTCATTGTCTTCAGCATCAATGGTTGTGGTTGAGAGGGGGGTTAAAATAAATTGGTCTACTTCCAGGATGAACTTTGCCATTGGGGCAGCTTTGGGTATTTGATTGGGAACAGCGCCTTTAATGTGAACAGGGAGCCATGCATGCTCAGTCTACAAGAGGAAAAAAAACAACATCAATTTACGTTACCTTCACCTAGCTAACTGGAGTACATGTTAAAGCAATTGTTTCTTTGAAGAGAAAAATTGAAATTTTTTAATGAGAAAATATCTAAAGTAAATATTCAGACCTCATTAAAAGATCTTCCAGGTTCACTAGTCCTATTTATGTCCTTAATTTTGAGCTGAAGCAACTTGCTTAATTTGATGTGAGTTTAATGAATAACTTCATCTGGCAGAAACATGCATGAACCATTAATTATTAATAACTGAGTATTTTCACACAACTTTTAACTTATTAATTACTATCTACATTGAAATCAGGGTCAATTGTGCCCTGTAAAAAAGCTTTCAGGCTAAACTCTCTATGTCTGCCAGGAAACAACCAGAGATATTTCCTTGTAGCTATAGTGGCCTAAGTGTAGAGGCATAAAGATAATTTAGGAGGTGATTCAGGACAGCCAGCACAGCTTTACTGGGAGCAAATCATGCCTGACTTTTTACAGTGTAGTGCATCAGTGGCTGAGGGAAGACCTACAGGTGTCATCTATCTGACACAGTCCCCACAACATCTTTCTCTCTAAGTTGGAGAGATATGGGTTTGATGGGTGGACTATTCAGTGGATAAGGAATTGGCTGGATGGTCACATCCAGAGGGTAGTGGTCAATGGCTCTAAGTCCAGATGGGAAGCAGTGACAAGTGGTGTCCCTCAGGAGTCTGTACTGGGACAAATGTTTAAAATCTTCATTAATGATATTGATGGGGACATTGAGAGCACCCTCAGCAAGTTTGCTGATGACATCAAGCTGGGTGGTGCAGTTGATATGCCAGAGGAATGGGATACCATCTGGTGGGACCTGGACAAGCCAGAGAAGTGGGCCCAGGTGAACCTCATGAGGTTCAACAAGGCCAAGTGCAGGGTCCTGCACCTGGGCCAGGGCAACCAGAGCTATCCATACAGGCTGGGGGAGGGCACACTTGAGAGCAGCCCTGTGGAAGAGGACCTGGGGGCACTAATGGATCAAAAGCTGGACATGAGTCCCCAGTGTGCAGTTGCAGCCCAAAAGACCAACTTCATCCTGGGTTGTATCAAAAGAAGCCAGCAGATCGAGAGAGGTGGTTCTGTCCCTCTACTCTGCCCTGGTGTGACCTCATCTGGAGTACTGCATCCAGCTCTGGAATGTCCAGAGGAAGGCAACAACAATGATCAGAGGGCTGGAGCACCTCTCTTAAGAGGACAGGCTGACGGAATTGGGGTTATTCAGCCAAAGAAGAGAAGACTCCAGAGGGACTTTACAGCAACTCTCCAATACCTGAAAGGGGCCTATAAGAAGGCTGGGGAAGACCTGTTCACTAGGGCAGGCGATGATAGGACAAGGGGTAATGGTTTTAAGCTAGAGAAGGGTAGATTTAGGTTGGACATTAGGAAGAAGTTCTTTAATATGAGGGTGGTGGATCAGGTTGCCTAGAGGAGGTGGTGGAGGCCCCGTCCCTGGAGACATTCAAGGTCAAGCTTGATGGGGCTCTGAGTAATCTGTTCTAGTTGGAGATATCCCTGCTTATTGTAGGGTGGTTAGACTAGATGACTTTTAGTGGTCCCTTCCAACCCAAGATATGCTATGATTCTGTGATAATACATTTCATTTGCCCAGCTGGCAAAGTTATAAGAAATAAACAGAATTTCAGGCTCACTACCTCTGTTCTGAAAAGAAGCAACTAGTTTTTTAAAAACCAGGAAGACAATCAGATACTGTAAGGTTGCATAAAAATCTACCTTGTGCAGAGTTTTGCTTCTTCTATCTGTGAGATCCAGCTTCACAGGAATATAATCAGTGTCAGGCGAGGGAGGGTCAAGGTGCTGATACCGAATCCCCATCCTCAGAAATTCCTCACAGCTCATTTTTCTGTTGTGAATGACTCCTGGTCCCAGCATGCAGCTCCCAGTTCTGCACTGCTGGCCCAGACTGTGCTCTGTAACCCAAGAGAAGTAATAGTGAAAAAGTTACTGGAGGAGAAACCAGCATGGGAAGCCTGACTGTAGGGCTAAACTAACCCTGATAAAAAGTTAGATGATGAGAATTAAGACTCCATTCCTGACTTAGCTTTTCCTACAGGATTCTGAACTGACATCTTCCAAATCCAGCCTCCCTTAGTCTCTTGAGTAGGTGCTGCCTCCAGCTACTTCTGTGTTGTTTCTACTGAGTCTTGGCAGTCCTAAAGCCCTCACGTTGGTCCACATGTCTAGGAATCAAAAACAGACTCCAGTAGGGGGATTACTGACCCAGATCTGTGAACTGCATTGTATCCACACAAACTTCTCATCCCTTCCAGTTTCAGTGATAGCTCAAACTGTTCATTGAACTTCACATGACCCACTCTGACCCAGCATGTCTGAAGCAACCCACCACTACAGAATTAATCTTCTGAGTATTTTTTAACCTCTTAATAAAAACTAATAAAGCACGTCCTACTTGGACCAGGGAAGAAGCCTTGTGGCTGATTTCCATGCAGCTTATCTTGCTGAACTTCCCCAGTGATGAGCTGGCCATGAGCAGGCAGCTGGGTTTCAGAAGAGTCTATGGAAATACTGCAGTCCAGATTTGTCTTCCTGTCATACTCAAAAGCAAGGACATTCTTGTCAATTGCCCTGGACAGGCCATAGTACTCAGGGACCTCCAGAGCGCGGGAGCGCATTTTGATGATGTTACAGTCTGGCTCAAGTAACTGCACATGGAGGGTGAATGTTTCTACAAACGTCTCAGTCTCTGTAAACCTGTCGGCGATAGAAGGAAGTTAGTTATACTTCATGCCATCTTCTGTCGGTCTATGAGTTTGGCATTGGACTCACTTTCTAAACTGAATTACTTGAACCCCTTTCTCTCATGTGCCTTCAAACCTATCCCCCCATCCTGTCAGAGACCATGAAGTGCCAGACCCTGCTGTCCACATTCTCATACTAGTAAAAAGGGTGTCTGAGTAAAGGAAGAGTTGACTTGTGGTGTATATACAAGGGTCTGTGTTCCTATCAGAAGGACAGCACATAACATACAATGCTCTGAAAGTACTGTTGTCACTTTCTGTAATAAAAATAAGAATCACTGGTTTTCTGTAACAAGAAGTATGTAACATTTATTAATACTAACAAAGTAATTATTTGAGCATAACTGAAATACACTGTAGGAAATGTTTCTGTAAACAGACAGTTACTTTTTGACTAGTGAAGCTGCTACTGGAGCTAAGTAGTTACAGTATGTGCAGCAGAATGTGCTGTTACCATGAAAAATGGACTGCTTGCTCTTCCTGAGGGAAGCTGCTCTGGTAAAAATGGAGTGTGAGCTCCCATCTCTGCTTACCTGTACAGCCTAAGCATGACTATATCTTCATCTAAAATCGGGCAGCCATTGTGGGTATATTTGACCTCATTAGGAAGGAAGTGGCAGTCGAAAACCTACGAAGGAGAAAAAATAGACAAGTACAACATTGTCAAGGATATTCACTTCAAGGCTTCTGTTCTGCTTCTCTCTGAGTGGCAGGAGTGCATCAAAATAAGGAATTTTTTTAATCTGTAGTTTGTTTCCATGAATAGGTATTCATGTGTTCTGTGGTTACCCCAGTGAGAGCAAGAGCAATCATTTGAATGTGTGGTTGCTGGCACTCTGTGAGGGAATAGGCACATAGATTTTATTGCTTCAGGCTGCCAAGTTCCTCCTCCAGAGAAATAAATAGTTTGAGGGCACACTTTCTGCCACTGCAGCCTGTGCACTTATGGATGCAGTTGTATTCACTAGGAGAACTGCAGCAGATCTGAAAAAGCCAGCCGTTCCTGCAGTACTATGTTAGATTTATTAGCTTATAAAGTTGCTCATGGTGATAGCCTGATTGTACAGTAAATCCTGCTTTATGGCCACTACCATTGGGCTACAAAAGTACAATGCTGTGAAACCTCTCTGCTGGAAACCTTGCTAGCTCAGGTTTGTTACATGGTTTTGGAACACTGACTTTGTAGCACTAACGTTTTACCAGATGTCATCTCTATGCAGTATCAATGTTCAGCCCAATATCAGTGTAATCTCAAAACATAAAAGTAAGAAGAATCCCTATATTGTGTTAATCAGCATATTCAAAAGGGACTAATTCCTGTGGCACATCTGATACAGGTCAGGTTTGCAAAGACAATTGACCACAGTTTGACCACATGAAATAAACCCTTTTTTCAGGCTATTTAATTCAATTGCTTGTTGACTTGGGAAATGAAGGCAATGCGGAGAAACGTCTGACTCCCTTGAAAAAAATATTACTTTGGAGAGTTCTAACACATTCACTCTTTGGAGCAGGTATTTGGATTCTGGGGCACAGGATTTTCATGTCCTCATATACACCAGCTGGCAGGTCTGGAAAACTGAGATTCCCATGTAGTTATATTTCATTATAAAGTTTAACAGCTGAAAACTCCTAGCATTTGTAAGACTGAGTCTATGTTATCCTTGTGATAACAGGGAACCCCTGCACAGCCCATGCGTAGAGGGAGGAGACTTGTGTTTCATATCTACAGAGAGACAGAACATTTTCCTGTCAGCAAGACAGCAAGAAGAAGAAAGTTAATAATTGCATTTTCTGAGTGTCTCACTAAGTAGATTTGGTTTTGATTCAGTTTTTATGGGCAGTATTCACACATTATTAGTTCTCCTACAGGATATGTAAAATCTGTCCAGCATTCACTAATAAAGGGATGAGGCTATAACTTGTAAGTATTAATACACATAAGAGACTGTGAGAAACTACATCTTTCTGGAGAAGGAAGAGGTCATTTCTTACTACTTGTAAAATATGTCAAAAGAATAACAAAAATTAAGTGGTTTGCCTGGATTACTGATGTCTCCCCAGTCACTTTGAAGGCTGTTGAAATGGAAGGTGGATTTTATCAGAGTTCTGAAATGTTGACTGGAAGAGCAGTGCATGGAGGAAGTTTTCAGATGTTCTGACTTTCAGTGTAAAAAGAAAATAATACTTCAATTCCTAGATTGTTAATGGATAGATAACTGAAGTGCCTCATGACCACTTCGTGGATTTACACTAAAGGGTATAAGAACCAATGGCTTGTTTCTTTCTAGCCATTACACAGAATTAGAATTTGCATCTTTCTATAATGCAAAAATGATCAGAGTTTATCAGCTTTCATTTTTACTGGCAATGTCTGCTTCCACCGAAGTTACTCTCAGGTGCTCAAGCTGCCTGGTAATTACTCTGTATTCCTAGTGATTTTAAAATAATACTACCTGTTTTTAACTTTCATCAAGAAGCATATTGTACAAATAATATTTTTTTTTAATAAATTATTTTTATTTTCTTAAATAAGTAATGAGTTAGTTGATTTTCAGATACATGAACTTACCATTTTTCCTATTGTCTAAAATAATCTTGGAAAAATCCGTAACAGATGAAGTCATGGAAAGTGTGATTGATTTTATTTGTTGGGATTATTTAGAAAGAAAGGACAAGAACAGTCTGTGTAAAACAAAAATTAGTCTCATATTATGAAGGTTTGACTATGTTATGGCTGTTCTGTTCTGCATTGTTTTCAAATGTCCTAGAAATAAGTTTTGTGGTTTTATCAGCATTTAACCAACAACAAATGTTTTTCTCTTACTTAGCCTCTTTTCTTTCTTAGTAAAAGTGATTGTAAAGGAAGATGATTGATCAATGAGAGAATCCTAAATTATGTCCTACAAAAAAGATAAAGCAATTAAGAGAGGTAGTTAGGTGGTGTGTTATCTTGAGGGAGAAAAAAAGTACATTATATACAAAAGCCAGTCATATTACAACTTCCAATAGTTTAATGTTGCACAATAAGATGAGATTCATCACTGATGTAAATCAGCTTAGAACCTTCAAAGTTAGCAGAGCCTTTGAAGACATGTAAGTCTGGTGTGCACCTGATAATGGGATACTGCTCAGATGATGGATCCCTGTTCTATCAGAGGGGACTGCCTAGAGCAGATGGTTTATCATAGTTTGACTATGTTATGGCTGTTCTGTTCTGCATTGTTTTCAAATGTCCTAGAAATAAGTTTTGTGGTTTTATCAGCATTTAACCAACAACAAATGTTTTTCTCTTACTTAGCCTCTTTTCTTTCTTAGTAAAAGTGATTGTAAAGGAAGATGATTGATCAATGAGAGAATCCTAAATTATGTCCTACAAAAAAGATAAAGCAATTAAGAGAGGTAGTTAGGTGGTGTGTTATCTTGAGGGAGAAAAAAAGTACATTATATACAAAAGCCAGTCATATTACAACTTCCAATAGTTTAATGTTGCACAATAAGATGAGATTCATCACTGATGTAAATCAGCTTAGAACCTTCAAAGTTAGCAGAGCCTTTGAAGACATGTAAGTCTGGTGTGCACCTGATAATGGGATACTGCTCAGATGATGGATCCCTGTTCTATCAGAGGGGACTGCCTAGAGCAGATGGTTTATCATATCAAAGAATTAATCCCTTTCTTTCTAAGGCATCATTAGTTCCTTTTCTTAATTGATAACAAAGGAATAGAGAGTGAAGGACCTATCACAAAGGTCTTTTACCACTGACTGACAGTCATCTTATATATGTATAAGACACAATCTGCTTTGCAAAAAGAAACATCTGGTTTATGTTTCCTAATATGTTTTCCCTTTATATGAATAGGCAACCCTAATTGTCTTTAAATTGACTGGGTAAGACAAAAGAGATCTAAATCTTTTCCTAATTACTGTTGAGCTTTGTTTTTTTCTACTTCAACTATTTTTCTATTACAATTTATAATTCAATTGTCATACATTCCTAGGATATTACTCACGGTAGAACAGATCAGACTAGAGGCATTTTCTGGCTGTAGAATTTCCTGGTAGAAAGAGCATGAGTGGCACCAGGAGGGCCAAACTTCAGCATCTTTTTTCAGGAATGGTGAAAACTCAGGAAGCTTTTTTCAGCGTCTGTTTCAGGGTTTAGTCGTTTAAAACAGAAGCCCTCCACTTACAAATGCTGTTGTTGGTTCTTGCACACTGAGTTATGAACCGCACTTTTGGGACAACACTGTCTTGCTCTTCCCCGCTGAGAAAACATGACTTGAGATAATCAGGCTGCCTGTCTCACTGGCAGCCTCCCTGGGGGACCCCATGTGGTTGTGTGTCTCTGGCACTCCCAACTCCCTACGGCTATGGAAGAGGAGAAGGCATCTTTCCTAATGGGGTGGTATTTGGGCCAGGAGATATCCAGATGAGGTATCCTGGGAACCACCAGCAGCCACCGCCCCCCTCCAGTCTGGTGCACTGGGCCACCTGCCCAGCAGAGCTCACTTCTCCAGATGAGGTGTGACTGCAGCTTCCAAAAGCCACGCTCGGCTGCCTGGGTTCACATTGGCCACTTAATGGAAGTGAGATTGGAGTGGGGAAATACATGAACCCTAGGTATTTTGGAACATAAAATGTGATGAGTAGATATATCCTGGGGTCTCTGGAAAAGTGCTTCTGACCCTGTGCTTGAAGCAAATCAGATTACAAAGGACAAAGTCACTTTTATAAAAATATCTGAGTCCTACTGCAGGTAGAGGCTGAGTCAGAAATCAAAAGCAAAGTCACTCACTCAGCCAACAATGAGACATCCAAGTCTCTCTTTTTTTCCAAACTAAACTGGGGAAGTCCACAAGTGGAATACAGCCAGGCCTCTCTTGTTAGCAGAGATGATCTTTGTGGCTCTGCACTGGACTCTTTCAAGCCGTTCCCTGTCCTTCTTGAACTGAGGGGCCCAGAACTGGACACAATATTCCAGATGTGGCCTCACCAAGGCAGAATAGAGGAGGAAGAGAACCTTCCTTGACCTACTAACCACACCTTTTTTAATGCACCCCAGGATGCCATTGGCCTTCTTGGCTACAAGGGCACATTGCTGGCTCATGGTCATCCTCCTGTCCACCAGGAACCCCAGCTCCCTTTCTCCTACACTGCTCATTATGAATAATTTCATTATTCCTACAAGCTTGAAATTGTAAAATAAACTTTTTAAAATGTATTTGCCATCTGCTAGCAATTTAGCTGTTGCAGAGCAGAGCAAACAACAGTGTACACAATGTGCTTATTGTATGTGATGGGTTTTTTTTTAATTGCTCTCTAAGTAGCAGCCTTGTGACTAAAATGCAAAATGCTCTAGCCAGCTATGCATTACTGGAAGGGTAATGGCTGCCTTCATGGTGGTAAAAAAAAGCGGCTGAGAGAGGGAGAGTATCTCCTAAAGTAAAGTTCTGAAATACCCATTCTCTCCTCCTGAAAGAACACTCTCACCAAACTCCTTCTTATGCACTTATTTTACTGAATGTAGCTTTTGAATTTGAGGAATGTGGTTCATGCGTCAGCTGGCTGCTTTTAGCAAAGGGATGAATGCCATAGGCCACTCAGTTAAATTTTTTAATTCAAAAAATTCAATAAAACAGCTCTTCCTGGTTCCTCCTACACCTGCACATACATGGAGACTCAGAGCAGCACAACAGAGCCCAAATACCTGTGGAGTTAGTTTCCCAACCCTCTGCGTTACTGGCTCATTGGTCACCACTTCCACTTTGCAGACATCCTTCTCTCTAGGGATGGAAAACTTGAGGTCATCTTCTGACAGGAAGACAGACTGTCCCTTCATCACTTTCATCCCGAGGTTGGCACTGATAAAGGAGGAGCAGCCAAGTCTTAGTACAACAGGCAGCAGTAGAAACAACCAGCTTTTCTCAAAGGGCTTCATATTACGATGGGATGCCAGCTCCTTTAGACCAGTGAGAACGTTCTTAACAAAAGAAGTATTCTTTTTCTCCACCAGCAGATTTTCACCATATAATGAAGGAACAAAATGCTATTTGCAGGTAGCAATGTACCACATATTTTCTATTAATATGTGCCACTTGAATAAAATTTGGACAGGAGCCTTCCAAAATATCCTTGGGTTTTTATAAAATCCATTGGTCAAGCCTGACAAAATGATGAATGTGTTCTCAGAGCACTTTGAAGGTCTGTTAATCCTGAAAATAGACAGAAATTTTATATAAGGCATAGAGCAACAATTGGGGAAAAAAGAATAACTACTGAAAATCCTTCTGCTATTTCTTACAATTGCCATTTATTGCAAGTAACATATTAACTTCACCTTTGAATGCTTTTAAGTGCACACATGCTCAGAAAATCACAGAAGTACCAATGAACTTTGCTCTCTATGGATCAGCTCTCAATATTAATTCCAGACACCTTCAATGTGTATGCACATATGAACACTCGATGTGCAGCATCCTTTGGTGCTGACCTTTTTTACTGCCGGACTAAGTAGATATTAACAAAACAGTAGGAGCATTCAAGTATTTTGAAAGTTCAGGAGTAGGCATTCACCCATGTTCAATATATCTGAAAGTGGAATAAAGAGAGAATGTCCTTTTTTTAGATATATTTTTCTTTGCCACAGAATGTGGGGAAAAAAAGTCAGCCCAATGAATGAAGCCCAAGTACATCAGTGTTCTGCTGCCTGCCCATAAACTCAGGCACAGGAAGTAATTTGTTTGCTGACCATTCTTACTCTACATCAAGCACTAAGAGCAGAAAGATTCCAAGAGAAGGTAGCAGCTTTCTGGACAACTTCACTATGGGTGTGAGAGGCATTCTCTGCTACAAAATTGGTCCCATGTTGTCACTCCTGTACCAGTATACTTAGATTTGCTATGTGTCTTCCAGCAATTGACCCCTACTTGTCAGCTGCAGGTCTGTCTCCTTACATTGCCAAGTGAAGATCTTGAGAAATACAACAACACTTTTTCAAACACATCCAATTACAGCAAAAAGAAGTTATGAGAGATCCTTTCAGCACAAAGCTACAACACAATGAGAAGGTTTTGGAGTGAATGTCCTCAGATCAGCATTCTCTCCTCTGTGCAAAGATGGCCATTGCTTCAGCAAAGTCGTGTGTTTGCTACACAGTACTTATGCTGATCCACAATGACACTGCATTGCTCTCTGACAGCTCTACAACCACTGCTGACTGCTTCAGACTTCCATATATTCCCTTTACTTCTCTGCTCTAAATATCACAGCCAAGCCTCATTCATCCCTGATGTTTCTTGACACATCACCTGTGTATCCAGAATGATAGAATCATAAAAAATCATTGGAGAAACAAGGAGAGGGGTTAGTAAAACTGTCACCTTAGACTTCCAGAGGGCAAACTTTGACCTGCTAATAAGACTGATTGACAAAGTCCTTTGGGAGGCTGTCTTGAAGGATATTGGAGTCCAGGAAGGCTGGACATACTTCAAGAAAGAAGTCTTAAAGGCACAAGAGCAGGTTGTCCCTGTGTGCTGGAAAACCAGTGGGGTAGGAGACCAGCCTCTCTAAATAGGGACCTTTGGCTGAACCTTAGGAACAAAAGGAGAGTCTGTGACCTTTGGAAGAGGGGACAGGTCACTCATGAAGTCTATAAAGATGAAGTGAACATATGCAGGGTGAAAATTAGGAGAGCCAAAGCACAGCAAGAACTCAAACTAGCTACAGCTGTTAGGGATGATAACAAATGTTTCTGTAAGTTCATTAACAGCAAAAGGAGGATTAGGGAAAATCTCCATCCTTTATCGGATGCAAAAGGAATTTTAGTAACAAAGGATAAGGAAAAGGCTGCAGTGCTCAACATCTACTTTGCCTCAGTCTTTAGCAGTGGAACTAGCTGTTCCATGGATCCCCAGCCACTTGAGAGAGGAAACAGGGAGGGGATGCAGAATGAGGTCATCACGATTAAAGAGGAAGTGGTCATAAACCTGCTACACCACTTAGACACTCACAGGTCTATGGGACCGGACGGGTTACATCCAAGGGTGCTGAAAGAGTTGGCTGATGTGATCACCAGGCCACTTTCCATTACTTACCTGAAGTCCTGGCTAACTGGGGAGGTGCCAGTGGACTGGAGGGTAGCAAATGCAACACCCATCTATAAGAAAGGCAGAAAAAAGGATCCTGGAAACTATAGAACTGTCAGTCTGACCTTGGTATCAGGGAAGGCCATGGCAAGGAGCATCTTGAGTGTCATTAGAAGCCACAAAGAGGACAACGAGGGGATCAGGCCCAGTCAGCATGAGTTTATGAAAGGCAGGTCCTTCCTGACAAACCTGATCACCTTTTATGACCTGATGACGCAACTATTGGACAAGGGAAGGGCTGTGGATATTGTCTATCTAGACCTCCAAAAATCATTTTACATGGTTCCCCATAGAACTCTCATTAAAAAAGCTGGCTGCTCATGGCCTGGATGAGCACATGATCTGTTGGATCAAGCACTGGCTGGATGGTCAGGCCCAGAGAGTGGTGGTCAATGGAGTCAAATCCAGCTGGGGCCAGTCACAAGTGGTGTCCTCTGGGCTCAGTGTTGGGACTGTTTCTGTTTAACATCTTTATTGATGATCTTGATAAGGACATAGAGTGTATTATCAGTAAGTTTGCAGATGACACCAAGCCAGGCAGGAGTGTTGATCTGCATGAGGATAGGGAGGCTCTACAGAGAGACTTGGATAGACTGGATCATTGGGCTGATGTCAATGGTCTGGGCTTCAACAAGGCCAAGTGCCTAGTGTGACCAGCAGAAGCAGAGAGGTGATTGTTCCCCTGTACTCAGCACTGGTGAGGCCACACCTGGAGTATTGTGTCCAGTTTTGGGCACCTCAATTCAAGAGAGATATCGAGGTGCTGGAGCAAGTACAGAGGAGGGAAATGAAGCGAGGTTGGTGCTGGTCTCTTCTCACAGGTCATTAGTGACAGAACAAGAGGGAAGGGCTTCAACCTGCAACAGAGGAGGTTTAGACTGGACACTAGGGAAAAAAAAAATCACAGAAAGAGTGGTTAGACACTGGAATAGGTTGCCCAGGGAGGTGGTTGAGTCATCACCCCTGGATGTGTTTAAGGGTCGTTTGGATGTGGTGTTGGTGGATCTGGGTTAGGGAAGAACTTGGTGGAGTAGGGATGATGGCTGGACTGGATGATCTTAAGGGTCTTTTCCAGCCTGAATAGTTCTATGATTCTATAATTCTATAGAATTGTCAAGGTTGGAAAAGATGGTTGGACTCAATGATCCCAAGGGTCTTTTCCAACCTGAATAGCTCTATGATTCTATAGAATTGTCAAGGTTGGAAAAGACCTTCAAGATCATCAGTTACTGAGGTGCTATTTAATTCCAAACGCATCACAATATTTCAGATATACTTATAGGTTTAATGAAATAGCAATGCTCATGAGCAGTATCTCAGGAGAATCAGTGTTTTTAAAACCAAGCTGTTCCCACATTGAATTTCTGAGGCTTTGTCTGTATGGCAAAACACCTGAACCATGTCCGAGTGTGTCTACACATGTCCATGCTGTGTGCCTACAAGCTCACACAAAGCTACCAGCTTTGGTCACAGAAGCAAAATAAGCATGCTGGTGTATATGAGTTGTTATCTCTCAGTGGGGATGGAGTACATGATATATGAGGAGAGGCCAAGACAGCTGAGTTTGTGCAGTCTGAAGAAGAAAAGGATCATTGCTGGTTTTTAGATATCTAATAGAAAGGCACATGGAGCGTGAAGGTGCACAGCAGAGAGGTGAGTTGCAGCCCACAAAACTCATGAGAAGGGAAATTCATGTTAGATATTAGGGAAAATAAACAAAATACAAACAAACAAACAAAAACCACACATACAAAACAAAAAAAAAACAAACACAACAGACCAAACAAACAAATAAAAACCAACCAAACATACAAAAACACCCCTGTGAGCATGTTCAGTGGAAAGGGTTTCCCAGAAAGGCTGTGAAGTCTCCGTTCTCAGAGATATTTAATAATCAGCTAAACAGGACCTGAGACTGAGCAGTCTGATATAACTTTGAAGATGGACTTGCCATAAAAGCTGGCCATGTTGAGAGCAAGGGATGGGAGCAGTTACCTACGTAGACATTTTACAGCCTAAACTGTGTGATGACTCTAAGCTGAAATGACAGCACAGTCTGGATCCAAGAACCTAAGGTAATTACAAGGTGTATTTTTGCCAACTCCTGCACTGTACCCAGAAGTGTGTCTAGTAATTCTCATTAGATCCTATATAAAACCACAGTGGTATAAAAAATATGGTGACAGAGAAAGAGACCTCCTTTCCTATACTTAGAAGTAGACTGGCCAAACTGATCCTAAGATTTGGGAGCCTGGAAAAGGAGTCTACCTACAGTTATTTGGAAAATTAATGTTCTTCTTGGCCCCTGACATCACCTTGAGGATCTGTCCAAGACAATGCATGAGTTCCCCTTGCAGAGAGAAAGGAGACTACTCTAAGGAATGACTCCTCTGCTGGCAGACCCCTGCCCTGCTCTGCCAATGACCCAGAGGAAAAGACAGAGGAAGAAAAGGCCTCTGATGAGTCTATGGATGTGACTCTGAAGAGTTAACAGAGGGACAAACGAGTCTGGGGACAATTTAGTGAAGGGTTACTAAGAACTTCAAATGTGGTTTGTTAAAAATGTCCTTCAAATATCAGAACTAGTTTTCCCTCAGGGCTGCTAATGCATATGGGAGAAATGATGCAATGGCTAATTACAAACATCAGCGTTCTCACTAAATGCAACTGGTTTTCAAGAGCCCTATTGAAAAAAAATCAAACCTGCTCAAAAGAAACTTGAACACCGCAGTAAAATTATCATAACCACAAAGTATCTGATAAAACTTCCCAATCTGTTAAGTGTTCATTGCCT